ATAAATATTTTATAAATAAAGTTGGTCACACGGTGTCAGTTAAATATGACTTAATTTTGTTAGTACCCTATATAGATTCGAAATTAGTGCTTTAAAGTGCTCGAGTATTATAATATTTGAGCAGCTCGATTGAATACTTTGAATATTTGAGCTTCTAGAAGAGCAAATCCGTTTAAATTTTATTTTCGTTTTGTTCTACACATATACCTATGTAAAATAGAAAATGCTCTATGTAAAATAGAAAATGCTCTATGTGAAATAGAAAATGCTCTATGTAAAATAGAAAATGCTCTATGTAAAATAGAAAATGCTTTATGTAAACTAGGAAATGCTCGAACATAATATGTTCGAATATGTTTTAGAGCAACTCGGTGTATTGAATCAGATGCTGAAACATCGAAGTAGTTGAAGTTTCGAACAGTTTGAAACTTCGAACAGCTTCATTATATATTATTTGAAGCTCTATTTCTCAATAAACTATATTAATTATTTATATATATTTAACATATACAATATGTTTCGCATATATATTATTTTCATAAAATTATTTATGTATAATATGTATATATATAATAGGAATGTGTTAGGAATGTTTTTAATATATTTACGATGTTATTAAATTAATTGAATTTAACCTATATTTAGAGTCAGTGTTATACGTTAGATAATAAGGGATTTCCGTTCCGGTTCAAATAAAAAAAATATATTTGTTCGATTCCGGTTTTCGTTCCTAACTATCGGTTTTTTTTCGGCTCGAAGCCTTGCTTTAAACTTGCAATAAACTTCTGCTAGATTGAGGATAACAAACAACATGAAGAGACAGGTTTACATCATTAGATGTGTGCCTCTAATGGCTCCGTTGGACTTACACCAAAAAATTATATCGAAATTAAAATTATATTAGAGACTTTAAGTTTTACAAGAGTCTTAGATATTTTACATGATAACCTGCCTTGATGACTTAATACCACGATGTTCTAAACACATATATTAATATAATGTGCCAATAAACTCCTTATTAGAATAAATTCCACCGATAGGAATATAAATTATATGTTTGGATATAATTTCTTTGTTTTTAAAGAGCGGCATTAGAATAAGAAGGGCTGCTGTAATTAATAGGAAAATTGAAAGTAAAAGAGTGAAAGCTGTTCTAAATAGTAAGGAAACTTTAAAGACTTAGATATAACTGAGAATCAAAAGCACAACTTATACGTTCCCGATTAGTGTTAATACTATTTACAGCAATTTCTAAGAATATAGTAGCCAAGGAAATAAACATTGAAATATAGAGTATAAACTAACAGTCAACAATGCAAAATAATAGGGTACGGGGATAACCGAATATAACATGGCGTCGAATTTTTTCAGCAAGACTAAAAAACCTTTATCTAATTTTAACATTATCAGACAGACAGCGAAAGATATTCTTTATTGGTAGTCTACATTCTTGATGGAATCAGGCTCAAAATCTGATAGTGGAGTGAACATCTTCGAATGGATTAAACATTGAACGTTTAATTCGAGTATGTGGATCCCAGGAGTGGCCGAGCTCTGGAGTCATTTGTCAATTTTGACAAGTAAGCGATGTTCCCCACCCTTAAAAGAGATTCTATCAGCAGCACTACATCGGCTACTACAACAAAAATTCGAGTATATGCAAACTGTCCAAACTGTATTTTATAGTGAAGCAAACATCTTCGAATAAATTGAACATTGAGTGTTTAACATAAACGTTCGAATTGGAATCAGGAGTGGCCGAACCTCACCCTTAAAAGAGATTATACCAGCAGCACTCCATCGGCTACTACAACAAAAATTCGAGTATATGCAAACTGTCCAAACTGTATTTTATAGTGAAGCAAATATCTTCGAATAAATTGAACATTGAGTGTTTAACATAAACGTTCGAATTGGAATCAGGAGTGGCCGAACCTGATACCCGGAGTCATTTGTTGATTTCAACGAGTAAGTACCATTCCTCACCCTTAAAAGAGATTATACCAGCAGCACTCCATTGGTTACTACAGCAAAAAATTCAAGTACATGCAAAATTTTCGATCATTATAAAACCAAACCAAAAACTTTAAACTAAAATTGGTATTGTGTCTCACTCTAATTTATAACGTATGTTTAAAGTATCATATAAATAAATAAAAAAATCAAATTAAATGTAGATGTATATATAATACAATTTATATATGTATATGATTATAATAGAGAGCATATATGATCCTTATTTTATATATAACAAAATGTATACAGATTGATGGCTTCAATAATGAGCATACGGTTAATTCATCAATTCGTATAGTTGTTGATATATTACAATATATATTTAAACAAACATTTATATATATACATAAATTTTTATAAAACAGGATTTATTATTATTATTAAATATGCAAACCAGAAAAATGAAATGTATGGTTATAGCACATTCTTAGAGGTACCATGACCACAATAGATCTATGGAGTGCATTATTATGTTTAAGTAATATGGATAATAATAAATACTTAATCTATATAATTATAAATTTAAATAAACATGAATCAGTGCACAGATATAGCTCCATATTTTAATAAATTAATAGAAGAATTTAACACATATACATATAAAAAACAAATCTAAATTCATTTATATATAAAACCCATCAATATATAACTTTTGCAAGCAATAAATAGTATTTGGTTTAACTTTTATACATATTATTAAACTGCAAACAGTTAAATATATGGATTAAAAGTATAGATATAAATTTATCAATATATAAATAATATATGTAATTAATATATTAATAATTATTTATTAATTAATAAATAATATATATAACATATTAATAGTTGCGTATTCATTAAATTTAGAACTAATACATAAATGTATAATTACAAATTTTTTACAATTTAATTTCGATACATATAATAAACAATTATGTATTGTTTTAGTTAATGTATATAGAATACAGTGTATGTTAGTCACATGCATATATATATATATAATAAATATACTATATATAAATAAATATTTATATTATAATAAATATATTATATATAAATAAATATTTATATTATAATAAATATATTATATATAAATAAATATTTATATTATAATAAATATATTATATATAAATAAATATATTATATATAAATAAATATTTATATTATAATAAATATATTATATATATAAATATATATACTGAAATGCAGTACTTCTCATTTAAACCGATTTCGAACTTTAAGGTATCGAAAAATTACTACGTTTGAAGTGAAATCTATATAAAGCAATCTTTTCACTTTGATAACTATATATGCTATTATGTTTTTTAGTGTATGTAGAATAAATTAACAAAATTATGTGATGCCATTTGATTGACCATACAGCTGTTTCAGATATTTGCAAATATCCATTATCTCTCGACTTTGGAAATATACATCGATTGCCTATATATAATTTTGAACCATAAATGGCAAATGCAACACAGATTCGCCTGTTAACCGATTCACCGAGCTAACAGTTGAATTGTGTCGTTTAAATTTGAAGTTTTGTTAAAAGTATTGTATAATTTTATAATTATATTTTAAAGGAAAATATTTCTATCTTTGTTTTAAAATCAATTATTCTTAGTTTGTAAGTACTTAAATATTACTTGCAAGAGAGCAAGCAATAGAGAACAACAGAGATAATTTCCGTTTACTATTTGAGTTGCTATAGACATATAGACAGAATATAAGTTTAGCTTATAGTCAAATTGTTGTTCGTATTAATTGAAAAATAAAAAAGTTGTTATATATAAATATGGTTTGTTATAACCGATAGGATAGTTCACTTTAAACGAATGCGAATTTTTTGATTTGAATCGGTTCAAATCAGCTAAAGTGCGAAAAAGTACTGTATATTCCTTAATCTATATAGGTTTATATGCACATCAGTAAATATACTTATTATTTATCGATAATTACTATAATCTATAATCTATATATATTTGATTTTTTCCATATCTTAAATAATAATATGCACACATGAATATTTTTGTTTTCAGCCACTATTAAAATTAAATAAACTAGTTTTTTTTTAAATATAATTTTTAAATATTATTGAGTAAATTTCTTAGTCATATATAAAACTTGATAGTTCCAATAGTTACTATATAGTATAAACGCATATAATACAAGTCTCATATGTAAAGTTTGATTCGATAATTTTTGTAATTGTTTGTATGTTTCTAGTTTAAAAGTACAATATTTTTCTATATAATTTAGGTAGGAGAGTATAAATTTATATAACTTATGCTTATATATGAGATTTGGAACGTCTAGATTAGTTAGGCCTAAGAGTTTAGGTTTGGTTAGGGTTAGTTTTTTAGTTTAGTTAGCGCTACAATAAAATGCGCCTTGTTTACATATGTGTTTACATTTAAAATGTGTTTTAGCTAATAATAATTAAATATTTTTATTGTGTATAATAAAACTTTTAACAAATGAGTTTTCGTAGCTTTCGATTAATTTTTTTATTTTTCATTTTTGTATAAGTTTAATATTTAAATATTTTTCAGCTTAATAATATTTTGTATTATTTTGTTTTCTATTCTCAATTCTCTTTTGTTTTTTTTAATATAAATTTTAACAAGTTGAGTATAAATTTTTTTAATAATTATTTCGAAATTCAGAAAAAGCGACTTATATTTATAAAATAGGATCTCATCCTTGATTTTTTGCGTTTTGTTGTGAAGAATAATTTTATCAGTTATTTTAAATGTTTAATTTTAATTTTTTTATATATATTCTTTGTTTATTAATTTGAAATATAATAAATAGCAAACATGTCACTTATTTTAAATACAATAAATATTTTCTCTTTAAATTTTTTAATATTATGTTCTTTTATTTAATCATATTTTATTTAAAAATATTTAGAAACATTTTATAAACTAATTCGCAAAATGGCAAGTTTTAATGTATATAATATATATAGTATGTATATAATTAATAAATTGGTTTTGCTTTACATATTTCTCTTATTATATATATTTTTGATTTTTTTGATTTTTTGACTGTTCTAAATAAGTTAAATAACTGCTCACAGTTTGCCGCATGCTGTCCACTGCTGGCCAACAAAGTAATTGACACAGTGCCCACTTCCGCTGCAATAAACGCTCAATGTATTTTTATATATTCTCATTAAGTTTAATATTATTTAATATTGTTTATATAAATTATTATTTAAGATTATTGAATTGACTTAAAGTCGTTTTATGTTTATACTTGCTGCACTCAGTACAGCGCCATGCCGAGTTCATTTAGACTTTACGTTCGGTTCTTGAACTGGGATACTCCTAGTCCAAGAACGGGTTTTGTCATGCATGGCGTTGCTGTATTGGTGGCGGCACCTTGCTGGCTGCTTGTTGTAGTTGCAAAGCGGCAGCTTTACTCATTGGCGACTGTTGATGGTGCAGTTGTTGCATGCCCGGTTTCATGACCACTTGCATTGGTAGCTTGCCGCTGAGTTTGTTGCGTGCTGGTGGTGGTGGTGGCGCATGACGCATACGCTGTTGCAGTACACGTGGCAGTTGTGGTTGTGCATGCAAATTGTTGGTTGCATGTGCCTGCATGAGATGATGATGTTGATATGCGCGTTGTGGCAATGGTGGTGCTGGACCATGTTTGCCCATTGAAGAAGCAGCAGATGAGGAGCCTGATGCACCTGAAGCGGAACTAGTTGATGCATGAGATGTCGTGGAACCACCTGGTAATGACTTGACTGTGGGCTGCATTAGTTGTGGTCGTGTTGCATATGATTCATCTTCTGGCTCAGAAGTAAGAGAATTTGTATCAGAGGGCGTGGGTGAAGATGGTGATGGAGGTGAGAGTACATCTTGCTCTTGCAGAAATACGCGAAAACCTTGTATGGATTCGTTAAGAGCCCACAGTTGTGATAGTAGTGAAAGATCTAATTGTCGCAGCCCATACATTTCGCGTCTGAGTATGGCCAGCTGTGTGTCCAGTGTACAGCTAGAGCTGCTGCTAGCCTTGTCGGTGTTGTTGGTTGGTGTTGTATGTTGGCTACTATGTGAAGATGAGGCGCGACTGTGTATACTCTCGCGATCGCTGAGCGATTCTTGTGTTGACGAAAGGCTACCGTGACGTTGATTTTGACGCATACGTGCTGCAGCTGAAGTGGAAGCGCCTAAATATAAATCGTTATCCGTGTGATGTGCGTGACTCAAAGGCGAGGCTCTGTTCGAGTGTGTGCCAAATGTGACTGCGGTTGTAGCTGCCGCGGCACTTAAACTTTTTGGCAGCGGCGGCAATCCCGGCAATTTGTGTTCTCTATCCATTTTGCTACTTTGTTTTGCTAAATTTAAATACGTTTTTACTTCAATGCGTTAAATACTTTTTATAAATAATTTTTCAATTATAGTAAAATTTTTTTAATTTATTATTTGGCGTTGTAAATGTTTTTTGTTTTTTTTTTTTTTGTTTGTATTTAATGTATAATTTATATAATTTACCGCCTTTTAACTTTACATATTAATACTTTGGTGCTGCATACTTGTTTTTCCAATACGTTTCAATTAATGCATATTGAACTTCCAAGTCTGGCGGCACATTGGACATTGCTTGTTCATCGGTTGCAAGTTCAGCCACTTAACGATGCAGTGCATGTGGAAACAGTGGGAACAAACACCCCAAACGAGGGGACAGTCGTCACCTGGTAAATTGCACTCGGGACAAGTACTTTCAAATGACATACGACATATACCACAATTCTCGTCATTAGCTACCCAACGCCAAGTTGCTACTCCCATCCATGATTTAATTGTTACTTTCATTTTGCGTACATTAGGCCAAATTTACCACACACAACAACGAAAGAAACCAACAAAAATTTTATACAAATTATAACACACACAAATTGCAAATGTTTTTTCGTTTAGATTGTATTTTTACCGAAAATAGGCCAAGAAAAATTCACCCACAAAACTAAATAAAATTTAGTGATGCAAAAACTCTGAGTATAGAATTTTTTTGACAGCTTAGCTAGTTCAGGTCAAACAACACAATTTATCGATAACAGGAGTGACAGCTAATCAGAAATCGAACAAGCGCACCAATCACTTCGCAAATAATTACTCGCAACGCAGCAGCTGATCGAATCAAAGTAGAGCAAATTTTTGTAGTCTGTGTTGTAAAATGTAAATTTTTTAGACAATATAGGAAAAAAATTTTTTTATTGAAAAGAAAATTTTTATATATTAGATCATTTTAATTAAAATTATTATTATGGCTATACGATTAAATCAAATCAAATAATTTTAATTTTTTATTTAATTTTTAGTATTCTGACAAGTACGTATGAATCCTTTCTTTACCCAAAGCGAAGCTTGCGAGAGAGTTTTCTCAATTTCACTGAGAGCCTTTAACCGCCTTTTTGACTTAAGCGTTATTTTTTTCTTTAAGAGTTTGAAAACAACAACAACAATAAGTCTGGTTTAAACAAATTGCAGCTTTTTTAAAAAATAAGCACACTTTCTTGAAACTGCCAATCGCATAAGAATGGTCTTGAAACTTATCTATTGTGAATGATTTTAGGCAGTGATGCAAAACTATTCTTAAGCAACCAGAAGTTGTGCTTAACAATTATGTCAAAAGAATACACCTTATGTTAAATGCTGTTTTTTTGACATGTTTGTTGTGTTGTGTACAATTTGACATACAAAAAGTTTAAACATTGAAAATTAATTAATTTAAATAAAAGAAAACAAAATGAATATTAGCAGTGCAAATGCTAACTATTTTCATCTGATATATTGAAATTAATGTACTTATTTATGTATTTGAATTTGTTAGTAAATAAAATACTCACATGATTTTAAGTTTTGACACTTAAGAAGTACAATTTTTTGCGAGTAAAATCTAACTCTGAACATTTTAACAGCATATATGTCACTTTACATGTTTTCTTTCGTTACTTTCGAGTAGTTTTCGTAGTTGTATGGGAGAAGTAGATAAGCATGTTGTAAAAAACACAATAAATGACTTTGAAGGGACCATGAATTTTCTTCTTAGGTGCTCTTGGTAGCTTGCAAATGTGGTAGAAAACAGTAAGTCTGTAGGCGCTAAGCGTAACATTGGCATCACTGTTGCAATCTGTCAAATATTATGTTTTGACAAATCTTGCATATGTGCATATAACGCAAGCAAATTACATTTTGATAAAAAAAAAATAATTGAGCTAAAATTAAAATTAAAATGAATAATAAACAAAAAGGATATATTCAATTTTTTCTTTTTTACATGTACATATTTTTAAAATATTTATTTTCTACAATTTTGCAAATTTTTGAAATATTTTATTTCCACAATTATCAAATTTGCGAAATTTCCAATAAAGGTTCACAATAGTTCGCTTATTGCTTTCGTAACACTTTTTTCTTTAGTGACCAAAATGTTTGACTATTTCACGACTAGTTGCTGCCGAAAGCACCTATTGGTATGAGTATAGTCATGAAGATCTATTTAGTCGAGGATTTCAGTGCTTATACAGTGGCAGTTGCTATCCAGTAAATGTTTTAACAGTAAACAGTAGCCCTCGAAGACTTGTTGTTTGCTTAGATTATGAGAGATGGAGTGAATAGTACTATGTCTCATATAACCCATCTTTTCTATTATTTATTTTTGCTTACATGTATATCTTATTTCTTAAGGAAGTATGCTGTGATTTTCTTCGTTTGATAATATATACAGTTTGTCAACATTGTGTTTGCAAAACGAAAAAATGTTACAAATGTTTGTTAAATGCCCAATAAAAACGATTTAATTTTGAAATAAAAAAAAAATTAAAAAGTTTACAATTAATTTAAACATTTTTCTTTATATTAAACTAAAAATTAATCAAAAATATCGTTAGAACAATAAAATAATTCACAAAAACAAAAATAACACCAAATTTGTTGTGTCAACATTGTGTTTGCAATTTTGCAATTTCTTATTTTTAACGGGACAGAATACCGTTAGATGTGTCTGGGTTTTTCTGTTTGTTATAATATTCTGCAAAAACTGTTCAATTTCTTTGTTATTTAATAAAGTAGAGTGTTTTAAGTGAAGGAATAACTAGAATACACGTGATTAAATATGGCCTGTAAAAGAACAAATTCAAATAATATTGAGTTATTATGTTATAATTACTACCTCGGTAAATCTGCTAAGGAATAAAGTCTAATGTTTAATATTAGGTTAAGAACAATTAATAATATCATAAACAAAACAGAAAATTAGGATTGCATTAGTTTAAAACCAGCAGGCCACCGTATTAAACCATTGTCTGATCGCCATATAAGAAGAGTATTGCGAAAAATTGATAAAAATCCTTGAATTTCCTTAAGATCATTGGCATTAGGTCTGAAGAAGCTATTTAATATTGTTGTTAGTCACAAGGCAATAAGAAAAGTGCTATTACAAAACATTTATTCTTCGTAAGTTGCACGTAATACACCGTTGTTATCTATTCAAAAAATTGAAAAACGATTTCAGTTTGCTAGCACACATTTAAAATATGTTTCAGAATACTAAGATGATGTGATTTCTTGGGACGAAGTGGAAATCAAGCTTTATTATAATGCATGACCCACACAAACATGATAATAAAGCATAATGTCCCAGAAAATCACATCATCTTAGTACTCTGAAACATATTTTAAATGTGTGCTAGCAAACTGAAATCGTTTTTCAATTTTTTGAATAGATAACAACGGTGTATTACGTGCAACTTACGAAGAATAAATGTTTTGTAATAGCACTTTTCTTATTGCCTTGTGACTAACAACAATATTAAATAGCTTCTCCAGACCTAATGCCAATGATCGTAAGGAAATTCAAGGATTTTTATCAATTATTCGCAATACTCTTCTTATATGGCGATCAGACAATGGTTTAATACGGTGGCCTGCTGGTTTTAAACTAATGCAATCCTCATTTTATGTTTTGTTTATGATATTATTAATTGTTCTTAACCCAATATTAAACATTAGACTTTATTCCTTAGCAGATTTACCGAGGTAGTAATTATAACATAATAACTCAATATTATTTGAATTTGTTCTTTTACAGGCCATATTTAATCACGTGTATTCTAGTTATTCCTTCACTTAAAACACTCTACTTTATTAAATAACAAAGAAATTGAACAGTTTTTGCAGAATATTATAACAAACAGAAAAACCCAGACACATCTAACGGTATTCTGTCCCGTTAAAAATAAGAAATTGCAAAATTGCAAACACAATGTTGACACAACAAATTTGGTGTTATTTTTGTTTTTGTGAATTATTTTATTGTTCTAACGATATTTTTGATTAATTTTTAGTTTAATATAAAGAAAAATGTTTAAATTAATTGTAAACTTTTTAATTTTTTTTTTATTTCAAAATTAAATCGTTTTTATTGGGCATTTAACAAACATTTGTAACATTTTTTCGTTTTGCAAACACAATGTTGACAAACTGTATATAT